CCTCTGTCTTCACAGATGTAAGTGGCATCTCATCAGTTTTCCCACTGGAACCATTTGCTTCAGCAATTTCTCCAGTTGCAGCACTTTTGGGCTCCTCATCGAAGTTCTGACTCCTGAGTTCTGGTGGCTCCATACTTGCGGCTGGAACAACTCCAGATACTATCTCAGCCCCTGAAATGCCAGGGTCTGGTTCTGTAGGTTCTACCTTGATCTCAACACCAGACTCCCTGATGTCCACCAAATCATGGATTCCCTTGTTTTCTGTTTCTTCAAAGTCCAACCTCTCTTGCTTGACTGTCATCTCTGGTGTAGGGAGAGGTATTGGCTTGTCCCGTTCCTGCTGGATTGGGTGCTCCCAGGGGCCAGGCAGAGATTGGGGGTCATCATTCTCTTCACAGAATGAAAGTGCTGCTTCCACAGCTGCCACATCCAACACTTCAGGATGATCGTCTACCTTATCTTCAATGATTGCAATGATGTCTCCAACAGTCTCAAAGTCCAGTTCTTCACCTGTGTAAGACACAGCAATATCCATCTTCTCAGCCAGATCTAAGTCTTCCTTTCCATCTATGCTGGGAGCCTTTGATCCTCCAGAGGTCTCTGCTACCCCTGATCGGAAACACTCTTCTTTGATAGAATTAATAATCATGGAGATTTCACTGCTATCCATGGAAACAGTCACAGTATGTGGATCTCCCACAGCTTCCATAGGAACACAGGTATCAGGTTGACTCACTGGAGCTACACTTTCTGGAGTGGAGACAGCCGGAGCAGAGGATGGTGCTGGCAGCGCAGGCATCATGACAATGGTAGCTTGGGATACAGACTCTACAGGGGGTGGCACAAGTTTAACTGGAGGCTCACTGGCAACAGTAGTGAATGAAGCAAGAGGTGTGGTGAATTGTGTAGGACCAGCTTCTAGAAGCTGGGAAAGAGTGGGAGCACCCGAGGCAGCAGGGGAGGCTGCAACAGTATTGGGTGTTTGCTGTATCTCCCCACCATGAATCATGGGAAGGACCCCGCCTACCTCCAGAAGGACACCCGTACTGTTCAAGTGGCTGGAAGCCACAGCCATTTCACTCTCATTGACCTACCAGGAAGAATAGAGGTGAAGGCTACACTCAAGCTTTCCTTCACTACCACTTCCCAAAAATGCTGTAGCAGTCAATCAAACATCTTGAAAACTAAACTTACTATCCACAGAGATAACTCAAGACCCATGGGAAACTCTAAACTATAAGTTTTGAAACTTATTTCACAAGAGTTCTCTGGGGAAGAAAATGAAAATTGTGGTTCTGATTACTCAGGATCCAAGGATATTATCAACTTACTGTATTATTACTATTGTTATTATTCTTTAACATTTAACTAGGTCATTTCTTCCTCTTTTGAACTTTTTTTTTTTTTCCATGTCATATTTTAGGTCCCAGGCACTCCCTTCCAAGTACTAAATCACCACAGCTCTCAAACACCCACAGAAGTCTCCATACCAGTCTGGGGCTGGTAGGCAGGAGGCTGCCTTTCTTCAAGAGCTCTGACAGCAGAGGGGAGGGGGGTGGAGTTGCTTTCTGTCCAAGCATCTT